CCCAATTTTGGAAATAAAATAAACTATATCAACTCCTCCTAAGAATGATAATAATAACAAATTATAGAGGTACCAAGAAGTTTATCCCCAAAATTAACCATGTATCCTAAAACGCAGCACATCACAGAGAAAGAATAAAAAACCAGGACAGTAATCAAGAACCCAGAAAGGAGATCAACAAGTTTGACAGTAATTGCGATAAAATAGTAATCGTGAATAACATTACCTTGCACCAAGTGATCAAACTAACAAAACCCCCCACTTCACCCCCTCAGAAAAGAAAATAACAAAAGAATAAAGAAATCCTTGAAGTGTTTGTGATTGAAGATTTTTCCTAACAAAATAGACCAGGATGAAGAAGAAGAAAGAAAAGGAAAGAAATTGTCTTCGTAGTATGCTTAATCTTGTCTGCGCTTTCTGTTGGACGTCGGTGAAGACCTTTGTTTTTGTTAATTTAATTTTTTTTCCCTTTTTTTTTCAATTTTGGCTTTGCGTCAGCCATTGGGTAGTCATTAATTATAATCAAATTGGACTTTTTTTTTTCTTTTTTAATTTCAAATTTGGGGAAAAAGAAAAAGAATAATGGAGTTAGGCTTAGGCTGATTTTCTATGGTTTTAAATTTTTGACCTTAAAAAAATTATTTATGACAGGCTGTGATGATGGTGTGGGTGACCTAACGATTATATTAAAAAATTATCTTGTTTATTAATCTATGTTTGAGTAGAAAATTAGCTTAATCAAATCATATTTCTTTTTTGTATATAAAGAAGAATAAATTAAAATTCATATAAAATGATTTTATTTTATCTGGGTCAACAATTTTGATTGCCACAAAAAGTAGTTCAAAAATCATGTTTTCAAACATTTATATATATATATATATATATATATGAGATATTTGATGATGTACAAGGAGAAGGATAAAATTTATTAAAAAAGTCGAACAAAATATAAATATAAAAAAATTCTGATTACATTGACAAATAAATCACAATATAGGATCAAACCATTAAAATATTGACAATTACAAATCAAAGCTGAGCGTCGTGAAAAAATTATCTTCAATACAAACTGCATATTTAAATCTAACTAGAGGGTCTAAAATAGAAAAAATCAACATGATAATAAATAAATGTCATTTTGATCAGTCGAGACGCCATTAAATCAAAATACTAAGAAAATTAGACGAAAAATGAACAAACGACATAAAGTTTGCTATAAAGATAGATAAAAACGTATCATAGAGACAAAATTATTTAAAATTATAAATATAAAATAAAAATAAGATGTAATATAAAAAATAAAGAAAAACAAATAATATACTATCAGTGACCAACACAAAACTAATATTGCTACCTGCGAAACAAAGAAAAAGAAAAATGAACAAGAAGCCAATGGTTATAGAGAAATTCTTTTAGGGTTTATGTATTCTTTCAATAATAAAAACGGTTTTTTTATTTATATATATTTTAATAATACATTTAAAACATAAAATATAATTTACCAATAACCAATTGATTTAGTAAAATGATTTTAAGCAAGGTTAGGAGTTTGAATCTCAACGTTTGCGAATGGAGAAAATTAGATTAGGATGATAGCCCTTGCCTCTACAGTATCCGATCTGAATTAATTGATCAATAGATCGAATATCGTGATTATAAAAAAATAATATAATCTAGATGCATAATCTTTTAACAATATTTATGACATTGAAAATTCATATTAATGTTAAAAAAGCTCAAAATATATATGAAAGAGATTATTCTAAATTTTAACTAATAAAAACGGTTTTTTATTAGTTATCGTTTTCATAATTCAAAACTATGATTAGTATTAATTATAATAATAAATGCATATATGCTAACAAAAAAAAATAATCTCATAATCTAAATAATTAATGGTCGGTAACCGAAAACAAATCAGTAAATGTCGAACCATTAAATTAAAGATCTTCATTTGGACGGCTTGAGGCTCTCTTTTTCCTATCATTTATGTTGTATACATCTAAGAATAAATTTAATTTTTTTATTGTAATCATGAAATATCCTTCATCTTATATATGTAATTTTTTATTTTTATAAATTTCAATTGGGTTTATTAATTAAAAGAGAAGATAAAATTAAATTTAAAAATTAATTAAATGAGAGATTTTTCAGAAGTGTTATAATCGACTACAAATATTGAATCATTGTGATAATTGTTAAATCAAGAACTTTCGAGCTACTATTTATTTTTCTTCTTCTTTTGCAATAATAATTTTAAATATTCTTTTATAGGTTTAAATTATTTGTTTTACCATTATTCCAAAATCATTTGATTTTGGACTCTCATAAGTGAATTCAAATAACAGAAGGAATGTTCTTTGGTTTCTTTTCCAAATCCTTTATGATTTTCCCCTTATATTTATTGTTTTTTTTTTCCTTTCCCGGAAAATGGATGATGGCTGGATTCTACGTGTAGGCCTAGGCTCAAGCTCATCAACTTAACAATCTTCAAATTCTCCAGTAAACAAACAATTCGTAATGAAAAAGTGCGAAACCAAAAAATGAGATAGCCATCAGCCGAGAATCGAACCCGTACCTCTACCGTAATAAGGTTCTACTCTACCACTAGACTCTATTGAGTTCAATCATCTTTTATTCACGAGAGTAAATTATTAACATAATAGAATTTTTAATTTATATTGAATTGTAAAAAATTAACATTATAATAATTATATAAATTTTACTGATGAAATTTTAGTTACTCATAAAATTATAGTTTCATGTACATCAAATTATTATGCTCTTTCTCTTCAAATTTTAAAATGTATTGATATAAAAATGACATAAACAGATTATATAAGTAATAAGTGCATTCTAATGGTTTTATAAAATATAATAAAAACTAAATCTTAAATTTATGTATTAATGCTAACCAAATGAATAATATGGTATATACATTTGAATCATGAAATGATTATAGAGATGAAAATTTAAATTTATTCTAATCATATGCATAAAATTTTGATTTTAATTATATTTAAGCTAACCAACAATCAGTTGGTCTAGTGAGATGATGCATTAGATCCCTTAAGTAATGTCAGATGTTCGAATCATGATATGTTCGAATGTCAGATGTTTGAATTATGATATTTGCGAATTGGGGTGGGAGGGTCGCCCACATAATGAGCATTTATAAAACCTGGTTTGAATTAATTGATCAGTAGATCAGATACCGATAATTAAACCCAAAAAAAAATTACTGTTCATATTAAATAAATACAAATATTTGTTTATTCAATTTATGAACAAAAATAATAATTTAAATAAATACCAAGTATATATATATATGCACAATTACATAACATTAAAGCAAAAATCATATAAAACTTTAACATTTGTTTTATATAAAATGAATTTTATTAATTTATTTCAAAATCACTTTCCACACTTTTTATGTCTATCAAGTTAAAATTGTATTAAGATTATATTTTGGTTTAAAAACCCCATTTTTTCGACGAGGATATTGGTATTTGGTACGACTTAAAATTGGTACAACAACAAAAAATTAGCTGACTCTATTCCTATATGTAATTGGGTGAGGGGAGGTAGGATAGTAGGCTGCCCCATTAACATTAGTACGACAAACACTTCCTTAAAAAATTGATTAACCAATCTTGAATTAAGGACCGGTTTGAAATATTCTAAAAAAAATGGGCCACAGTTTCATTAAATTATTTTTAAAATGTAGCTCATAATATATAACAAGATTAAATTGAATAAAATATAAAATTGAAGGTCTAAATCTAAAATTTAAAGCACAAATTTTGGACCCGGTTGAAATCCCCTCTTTGGTTTTCCGACCACCAATCATAGCTTCTTGTTAAAAATTAACTGACACTATTCCCATATGTAATGGGATAAGGGGGAGGTAGGATAGTAGACTGTCCTCAACGCCAGGTTGAGAGCAGTTTTCGTGGGAGACCTCCAGCAATCAGAATTATGAATTGTCCACCGTGAGACTCGATCCCACGACTACAAGGTTAAGAGCCTTGCGCTCTTACCAACTAAGCTGGCCGGACAAATCATAAACAAAATATTACCATACCAATTTAAATTTATACTTTTTATTTTAAATAATTAGATTTTATCATTATCATAATGTAGACGAATAAAAAAATTCTGAAGAAAATTATATACAGTATATAAATAGATCATTATGGATGTACCGAGAAACAAATATTGTATTACTGGATTTTCTCACACACACAATTACAATATCCAACCTAACAATGATCTAATTCTATATGATATATAATTTGATTAATTTCCCTAAAATATTTTTATGCACCTATTACATCACTCATTGAATCAACTCACTTGGGAAATCACCCAAAAATCAAATTATAAAATAAAAGTATAAATTTATACTGATATGATAATATTTTGTATATTAACAAATAACTACTATTTGAAATAATTAACTTTCTAAAATAATATTTTTTTAATTTTAATTATATTATTTTAAAATATAATTACTTTATTGTTTATGAAAATATTTCCACTCATAAAATAAATATGGTGAAATTCTAATAATAATAATTAATCTCATTATCATCACAAATCTTAATTTTCACTTTTATTCCAATTAATTTCGTTTTTATTATAAATGTAGTACATGAAGGTTGTTCCCCGAAAGGTTATGGATTCAAATTGATGTAGAATGTGTATACATTGTTAATAAATTAAAAAAAATTAAATAAATATTATATTATAATCATTCTAAATTATTAAAAAAACATAAAGGGAACAAGTTGTACATGTTCTCTATATCTCTACATAAAAAGAAAACAAAAGCAAAACCTCCTCAAAAGACCACAAAATATATACATGGAGAAAAGGATGTCCCTCTACAATTTCTTGACTTTAATGAGCCCATAAACCCACTTTTTCCCCATTAAAGGAAAATGATAAAAGCGACTAAAAGAGTCGTTGAAGATAAAGGTTCAACACCCATCATTTCTTGAAAAATCCTTTGCCTTCAAACCCAATTTTCCAACCCTTAGAACATGTTTGATCCTGCCACAAAGCTTCCCAAATCTGATTTCAGTCTGTCAAAACACATGGGGAAGAACTATGATTCCAAGGTGCAAATGACAACTCAAAGTTATAGGAGTTGGAACACCATGGGAGCTGATCAAACTTCCGTGATGGAAGAAGATGACTCTGGAGTTTCAACTCCTCCTTTATGGGGAACTAATCCTTCAACGAGTGGAAAGAACATTAATTACCGATGTTTATCGCCTTCATCCAAAGCTCAAGCCATCGCTCGAGGCCAAAGGGAGCTTATGGAAATGGTTAGCAGAATGCCCGAGTGTTGTTTCGAACTCACCTTGAAAGATCTCGTTGAACACCAGGACGCGGCTGTTGAATCGAAACAGGAGAGTTGTGCTGAAGGGATAGGTGCGTTCAATGAAGATGCATACAGCAAAGAAAAGGGGAAGAAGAATCAGAAACCGCAAATTAAAAGAAGTGGGAGCATAGATAATGAAGGGTTTCTTCTGAAAATGGTGTTTCCATTTTCCTTAGGGTCAAAGTCGAAGAACAAGAAGAATATGAAGAGAAATGGTTCAAACGTAAATTATAACCCCAGAGTTTCTCTGAAGCCAACAGTATCAGATGAATCTGGTAAGAGCATAGATAAAGAGTGGTGGAAAAAGAGATCGGGGTCGAGCGAGAGTAACAGCGGTGGATCGAATATAAACAGTGGAAGCAGCAAAAGCAGCCGTAGCAGCAGAAGCTGCGGGAGCGGGAGCAATAGCAGCCGCAGGTATGTTATAACTGAGAATTTCGACTATCTTTGTGCTTTCTAAACATTAACAGACAAGGCTTTCAAACTAAAATTGTTAAATTGTTATAACTGAGAATTATTTCATGGTTTTAGACATTAGAGTAAGTTTCACAAAGGAAGCAGACGAACTTTTGTTGCAAATGCGGAGTCATTGGCCTTATTGTTAAGTAATATTTAATTATGTTTGAAAACCGTTGAAAAAGTAAACAGATGTAAATTTCATCTACTTTAAATTTCCAGGTCAAAGCAGTATTTAAAGTTGAGGGAATCAACTAACCTTGGAATTTGTTCTTATATTGAATTAATGCAGGCCTACGGGGAAGAGTTGCTTTGCTTTCATCTTCAACAGGTAAAAGGGCAGCCTTGAGCCTTCTTTGAAAATGGAGTTCGATGGGTAAATTATATTTCCAGGAATCATGAGATCTCCCATGCAGCTGCAAAGCCAGTGTATGATCAGAGATTTTAAAGCCAGTGGAGAATCATGATTTTGTTTTAGGTTAGTTTGAAATGACAAGTGATTTTAGCAGTGACAAAATGGGCAGATATATGGGGAATCTGTGAATGAAACCTGTTACCGTACCAATCAAATCTAAACCGTGTTTCTGTATATTCTTTCCCTTTGAAAAAAAAATAGAAGAGTTAATTACATCGCATGTTAATTAGCCCTTAATTCTTTAAATGTTTTAATTTTATCTTTAAACTATGATTATCATTCTAAATTAATCCTCAAACTTTTGAACATTTCAATTTCATCCCCAAATCATGACCTTCATTCTAAATTAGTCCCCAAACTTTTTGAATATTCTAGTTTTATCCAAAACTATAAGTATATACTAATCACATCCCTTGTTAATAAAATCGTTAGTCCAATTTATATTATTATATGTTTGAAAAGAATGAAATTTAAGTTAAAATGTGGTTGAAACTAATTACATATTTAGATGATTTTTAACAAATTTTTTTCTACATCGCCATTCTTAATAAAATAATTAAATTAAACAAGTAACATGATTATTAAAGAATCAAATTTATTTCAATTTCATCACTCTACCCATGGTAACAATCACAACAAAGCAATAAGTTTTAATTTTTTATATTGTAGCAGATATTGTCCATAAATTATCAAATCTACGGTGACCATATCATTATAAAAAAGTTAAATAATAGTACCAAAGAAAATAAATGGTCCAGTAATCTGTTCACTTCAAAAGATGCAAAGGCCACATATGACCGAAAAGAAGAAAGGCAAGGGCAGTTGGTTCGAGGCCGACCCACACAGAAAGTGCCCACTTCAAGGCCACGTGTTGAGAAAATACAAAAAGATGTCCACTTTAATCTCCCGTTTTCTTCATTTGCCAATCCAATTACGTTCTTTTTCACATTTATTTATTCCGGTATGTGAATTTGCCATTGTTGATGCACAGTGATATAAAACAGTTGTAGTAATCCATACTAATAAAAAAAGACGAGCAAATTTCGTCAAAACCTTGAAATTAATGTTGTATCTTCTCTTTGTTACAAACGACACATTTCCTTTAATTTCGGGTGAAATCATATCTCATATCCGAAAAGTATATCTCCTTAGATATGCTCAACAATGTTCCTAATATTCTCAACCAAAACCAATGCTGTGTGTGCTAGACGAAAGAAGAATAAAAATAGAAACCCTTCAACAAATCACAACTCCATCTCCAACCCTTCATTTCACAGTTTTAACATCAAATAGAAGCAAGTAAGGTATAGCTATAATGGGGACAACTCCTCCTTCGCGATCGCATGTTGTTATGGCATTCGATGCAACTAAGGATCATAGCGAACGAGAGCTCCGAATCGCCATCAATAATCTACGAGTAAGAGGTGACATTTTACGAGTTGGGGACACGCTGCTTATGCTTGGAGTTCTGCAGAGTCACTCACCCTAGTAAGTACTGCATGTCTTAATTAATTTCATTCAACATGTCATCTCACCTGTTGCCTTTATGTTACCTTGTCTTCTGTTCCTTCTCTGGGCTGGTGTAGTGGGTTACCAGAGCAAAGCATGTCCTGAATCTTTCGGGGTTATAAGCATCCGCGCCATGGAGGAAGAAATCTCAAAGAAGCTTGATGCATATGCTAATATGCTTCAACAAAGTGCAGAAGATTGTGAAGACCAAGGAGTAAAATTTCTGAATTCTGAGCCCCCACTTATTTCATAGTGCTTTCTGTTGGTAATATAGCATATCAATTTTCATGTATAGGTAATCATCGAAGTTAAAATCACAGCTGGATTTCCCATAAAGAATGTTATTGTACAAGAGGTGATCTCCTCTAATGCAGCATGGGTTGTGCTTGGCAGGTAAATATTTTGTATTATGGATACATGGAATCATCATTTCTGTGTTCCTTTCACCATGACTTACAATCTTAACAGGCACCTTAGACGGGACTTGAAGTTATATGTAAGTTATATGTAAGTTATATGTTAAGCAGATACCGTGCAAGGTTGCATTAGTTCATGATAGTTTGAGTGTGGAAGTTTTGAGAAACCATACTGTAAGTGAAACAGAGGTGGCAGGAAACAAGCATTTTTATTCCATGTCCAAGCCTGTGCCCCTATCAAACTTTCATGTCAGTGAAAACATCAACCAATCAGAAGTCTCTTGTCGGAGCTACTCCTGGACCCCGATTTCAATCGAAAATAGATGTGGTAGGTAATTCTGCAGGCTTGCAATTTTTCAGCATCAACAAGCATTATGTATATTGTATTTTTCTTTCAGATACAAACGCAGAAGGAGAAAATGAGCTGCATACTAGTTTAACTGTCATCCAAAGGCAGAGAAGAAGTTGTTTCCATAGTAAATACTCAGGAACACCTCTTCTTTTTGTTGCTTGTGGGCTGAAGACTGAACTGTATATCCAAGATTCTATGACATTCACTTATCACGAGATTCAACTAGCCACCAACTACTTTTCAGAGGAGAACTTGCTAGGAGAAGGCGGATACAGTCGTGTATATAAAGGTAAGCTTAAAGATGGGCAGTTGATTGCTGCAAAGGTCCGAAAACAAGAAAGTAGCCAAGGATTTGCTGAGTTTAATTCTGAGGTATCTGTCTTAAGTTTCGCTCGTCATAAGAACATTGTGATGCTGCTTGGTTATTTTTGCAAGGAGAATCTCAACATTTTGGTATACGAGTATATATGCAACAAGTCTCTGCATTGGCATTTATTTGGTAAAGAGCCAAAAATCAACTAAATTATATGTATCATCTCATATTTCTTTCATTAAAAGTTTCCTCATCTGTTATGGAATTGATGATATTTTCACAGATAATCCAGAAAATGTTCTTGACTGGCACCAGAGACGTGCTATAACGATCGGCACCGCAAAGGGCTTACGTTTTCTTCACGAAGAATGTCGCGGAGGTCCTATTGTTCATAGGGGCATGCGTCCGAGCAACATACTGCTCACACATGACTTGGTTCCAATGGTAAATGATGTTCCTTTCTATTGTTCTCTTCTATGATGAAGTGCTAACTTGTATGATTGTATATGCACAGCTTGGTGACTTTGGTCTTGCTAGATGGAAGATCAACGACGATACTCTACAGACAACAATTCTTGGAACAATAGGGTATAGGACTCCAATGAGCTCTCGAATTCATTTTCACGACTGTATACGTTATCGATATGCCGATGATGGCCCGAGTTTTGTTGTTAAAGTAGTGTAACTTAAGCCTTTGGTTCATGTAGATACCTTGATCCGGAGTATGCAGAGAATGGATTTGTTTCGGTGAGAACAGATGTGTATGCATTTGGGATAGTTCTGCTACAACTAATTTCAGGACGCAAAATAATTGACCTTGAAAGTGAAGGACAACATGCGTCTCTGCGACAGTGGGTATGTTTGGTTTCAATGGTCATAAAGTTAAAGGAACTGGTCAATTTTTACTTAGTTTCATTGCTTTGATGCTAATGTTTTTCCATTTAGGCAAAACCATTGATCAAAAAGCTTGCACTATATGAGCTCATCGATCCTCGAATCGGGGAGTCACATGACACTTATTAACAGTACCTGATGGCTAAAACAGCTTACTTCTGCGAGCAAACAAACCCTGAAATGAGGCCATCGATGGGGGAGGTAATTCTCCATTGCATGCACACCATGTAATCTCTAAGTTATCTTCATCATGATGCCTCGGTTAATCCTCCGTTTGAAATGTAATATTGAATCGATACATGTTTTGCGGCTTCTTGAAGGGGAAAGCGATGATTTCCGCCATTTAGATTGCCTGTCCAGCTCAGTTAGTAGAGCACAAGGCTCTTAATCTTGGGTGATCAAGTCTCACGGTGGGTAATTCATAATTCAGACGTCTCCCACGAAAGCTGTTCTCAACCTGGTGTTGGGGACAACCTACTATCATACCTACCCTTACCTCATTACATATGGGAATAAAGGTTATGTAACATCCTAAAATACGGGTTAGTGATTAAATTGTAAAGTTTCAGAATTTGGTAATTAAAGTAATATGATTGAATAGTTCAATGATTTGTTCGAAAATATTTCCTAAAAGTTTATAGTAATTATCCAAAGAATTAAAGGGTAAAATGGTCATTTAGCATGAAAGATATTTTTCCCCAATAATATGAATGAATCACGTGGGGGTGGGGGGAAGAGTTATCTGAAAACTCTTTCTTCTTCCTTTCTGATTCTCCCAACCGTGGAAGCTAGGCAAATGTAAGGGTTTTCTGATTTGTTGATTATTTGTTAAATTAAAGGTTAGGTTTTGATCATTAGATGATAACTAAGCTTAAGAAAAACTTAAGTTATCTTATAATCAAAAGATGAAGAAGTTATAAGAGATTTAAGAAAACGGGTTTTTATATGAAATTATGGGAAATAGTTGATAAGTTGAATTTGAAGTTAAATTTGACTTGTCATCATGCTAATTAAGGAATATGAGGTGTTAGAATTGAATTTAGAACATATGGAAAATTTAGTATGATTATTGAATTCTATATAGAGAATAGAATTTTGAGGTTTAAGAGAAAATAAATGGATATAAGTTAGTTTAAGTAATGGTGATTGAGTTTAAGGACATGATAGAGATTTAAAATAGAATAATTGAGTGAAGAATTGATGATTTTCGGGATTAAAATACAATTTCTGGGCAGAGGGAACCGATACCCTATGAATGGGTATCGATATCCCCTCTTGAACGAAAAATTTCAGTATGTTCAGGGGGTATCGATTCCCCTGGGGGGTATCGATTCCCCCTAAATAAAAAATAGAATTTGGTTCTTTAATTTGGTTTAAGTTGTTAACATCAAGTTTAAGGTTTAGGCTTCTGATAGTTGTTTTGAAATGTTATATTTATGTAGATATTGAGT